AATGTGCCATACTGATTCTGAAGGAAAAAGACTCTGTATTGATCTTTAAACACATATGCTTGCTAGCAGAGAAGTTGAGGTTACTCCCAGTCAGACGGAACGTTTTATACAAGTGTGTCCATGCTTTTCTGAGGAAGGAAAGGTGTCAGAAAGGTAAATGTAGAGGCATGGGAGAAGGTAGGCCCAAGGAGCCCTATCCTTAACCCCACTGCAGCCTTTCCACCCCGGGAAAGTGCAGGATTGGAAAGCTCTCCCTGGGGTGATAGATCAGGACTCAGGTAATAGCGGAAAGCGCCAATCATACTCTTAAAATGGATACAAGAGAGCATTTGGGGTTTTTCTTTTTAATGCCTGTTTTGGATTGAGTAAGTGGATTTTACCTAGTTTTAACATATCAAAGTTAGCTCTTGACACAAAAGGGAAAACTAACAGTTTGGCTCAAAATTGGGGTTTTGTTTTGAGGTGCTGAGGCTCGGGGGTGGAGCCAATCCACTGTAGAAATGTGAAGCTGCGGCTTTTGGGGTGGAAGTGGGAAGTTGTGAATACAGAGGAGTATGTATGTTTATATATGGTCAGAATTCCATCAATGTAAACCTTTTCTATAAAAACAAAAAAGGGGAGAAGAATGTTATATGTTAAATTTTTTTAAAAAAATACATTGCAGAGGGTTGTACAGCAGCCAAAAGGCATCGGGCCTCCTGGTCAATAGCCTCTGCCGATTTAGCCCAGTGGAAGGATGCAAACCAGACAAGAGTTTTAACAGATCTAGTAATGATGTGGGGAAGAGGTGGTGTTTTGTATCTTTCCAGAAGGAGCAGCCTCTGCCTCCCTCCTGGGGACTGTCACCACTGGGAGGCCGAGTCAGCACACCTGACCAGTGCCCGTCTGCAGCAGATGTGCAGCCCTGAGCTGGAAACACCTGTCCATGGGAAGGATCACATGTGCCTCCTTTTTGTCTGCCCTTATGTCCCAGCTTTGCCCCACATCTCCTTTCCTTTTTCTTTTTTTCTTAATCTGACTACTTGTTTGCTGGTTCTTTGGCCTTTCCCCTTCTCTCCTGAACACAGCCTTTCCTAGAATCTCCCTACCCTACTGATCCAGGAAGGGCACCTCCCTTTTCTGCCGTGACTGGGGGTGTCTGGTATATGCCCCATATGTGGCGT